TCTGGTAAGGACTCTGATAGGGACATGCATGAAATTTCATGGGAACACAAAGTATTGACGTATAATTGAATCTCAGGGAAAGATTTCACAGATTATGTGCTGCCTCATCTGGATTATCTAGATTTCAACAAAGCATTTGAAATAATTCCTAACATCTTTGTGGTTGAGATGAGTATATGTGGATAGTGTTATTGTGCAATCTGTTGAGCTTTTAGCTGATAAATCCTTCCTACCAAATAATACTGGTTAATATGTCCAATTGTAGGATGCCTCTGGTTTCTTTCATTGAATCTTTCTTTACATCATTTAAAAATATTTTTTAAAATGTTTATTTTCTATTTCTGAGAGTGAGCAAGAGCACATGAGTAGGGAAGCAGCAGAGAGAGAGGGGGAGGTGGAGAATCCAACTCAGGCTCCAAACCATCAGCACAGAGCCCAGCACAGGGCTCAAACCCATGAACTGTGAGATCATGATCTGAGCTGAAGCCGGATGCTCAACTGCTGAGCCACACAGGTGCCCTTAAAAATTTTTTTTTAATGTTTATTTATTTTGAGAGAGAGAGAAATGTAGAGTGCAAGTTGGGGGAGGGGCCAAGACAGAGAAAGGGGGAGAATCCCAAGCAGGTTCTGCAGCTGTCAGTGCAGAACCCAATGCAGGGCTTGAACTCACAAAACCTGAGATCATGACCTGAGTTGAAACCAAGAGTCCAGCGCTTAACAGATTGAGCCACCCAGGTTCCCGTCTTTGTATCATTTTTAAATCAACTATTTGATGACATGATATTATTTGACATAGTTAAAAAATTTGGATATGATTTTAAATGTGGGGCTCAAGGTACTATGTCACATAATTGATTTTACAAAGAATTTCACAGATAAGAACAGTGGGTTGAAACTGACAAGGGAATGAAATAGTAAAAGGATAGAGTTAGGTGTAAAATCCACTGAGGAAGTAGAGAAATGTAATGACTTTAGCTTAATAGATCTTCAGGTGACCAAGATCTAGAATTTTAGCTAAATGAGAGATCATTGTGATGCATGGGTGATGCCAATGTTGCCTGGAACATTAATGAAAACTTGAAGTGTAGTAGAACTATGTATTCCAAAGGGGAAAAAAGGCAACAGCTTAACCCTCTCTATTAGAAATAAAGAGCATTCAGTTTGGTATTATAAATGGTACAAAGTTGAAAATTATCAGAGAGCTGTGATCTAAAAAATTATAGGTTTTGAAAATCATGCTTTATAAATAAATGGTAAACAAAATGAAAGGTGTTTTGGAAAAGAGATCTCAGGGGCAGTAATGGGTATCTGAAATAACGGATTATCCATTCTATCCATCCAGTCAATCTAGAAGTCTTATTTTTTTCTGTTTTCTATTTTAAATTAAAAAAAATATTTATTTTTGAGAGAGAGAGAGAGAGAGAGAGAGAGAGAGAGAGAGATAGAGCATGAGTGGGAGAGGGGCAGAGAGAGGGAGGGAGACAAAGAATCTGAAACAGGCTTCAGGCTCTGAACTGTCAGCACAGACCCCGATGCAGGGCTCAAACTCAGGAACATGAGGCGAAGTCAGATGCTTAACTGACTGAGTCACCCAGGTGCCCCTGTATTTTCTATTTTAAAGTGTCAGTGTTCCAGACACATGCTGAAAATAGGGAATGATTTCAACAAATAGCTGGCTCCCAAGAGCCCCTCACTCTAGCACAGTATGTCTATTCTTTAACTCAGGGCCTATGGACAGTACTTTGAAGGTCTGTTGCATGAACAGACCGGAAGTTGTATGAACAACTTTATATGCCATTACATTTTTTTTATGGAAGTGATTATCTTAAAAGGAATGGTGGCTGAAAAATATTTAGGAAACATTTGTCCAATGAAAGAGTCACAGATGCACGTCATGAGATACAAAATGGGAATAATTAGGGGCGCCTGGGTGGCGCAGTCGGTTAAGCGTCCGACTTCAGCCAGGTCACGATCTCGCGGTCCGTGAGTTCGAGCCCTGCGTCGGGCTCTGGGCTGATGGCTCAGAGCCTGGAGCCTGTTTCCGATTCTGTGTCTCCCTCTCTCTCTGCCCCTCCCCCGTTCATGCTCTGTCTCCCTCTGTCCCAAAAATAAATAAAAAAACGTTGAACAAAATGGGAATAATTACGTAGGATATATAATTGGGGAGAAATATGAATTTTATTTTTTTTTATTCCAGAAGGAAGAAGTAGAGCTTTACCTAATTTCCTAAGATTACCTTTCATTGGAAGGTTTTATTTTTGGTAGTTGATTTACATAAAATTCTCTCATAGAATAGGAAATTGAATTGTATTCTATCTTAAGGATTTTAATTTTTATTGTTTTTGTTTTGTAATGTTCATTGTAAGTTATTTATTGTCAGCTTTCACTTTCTTCTCACTTCCTCTATATCACAAATGAACTAAAAGATGCCTTGGCCTATAATCTCTCCCCTGTGAATTTTACTCACTAATTCATTCCCTCATGCACCAAACATCTTTTTAAACTGTCTTTTATATAGTGATATGCAGATAAATATTTAACAACCAACCCTCTGGGGAAAAAGATCCAATATGTAGTGCGTGGTGATTTCCACAGTGTAAATACTTCCACTAAGGCCAATTCCAAGCGACCGATATATGCCACTGAAAGCAGAGTTAAAACAGAGGCACACAGTTGGCCATCTTGAGCTAAGGAGCTGCTCCTATGATCACATCAGGGCTTGTATCATCCCAACAAGGTATTCGGTACCAGGTTATAAAGATGACTAAAACTGTTCCTGCTCTCAAGGAAGTCCCCTTCTACTAAGGATGAAGAGTATGTAATACATGATCATATACCTATTATCCTCTGTAAGTTATATATTGGTTGACTGCATCCTGTACCTCTGTGGTTTGACCTCGGATGTCTTAAGCAAATTTTGGATGCTCTGAGCAGATTACCTCTATGAGTCTTATTTTCTTCAACTATCCTGGGGAAGGGGGAAGCCACTTATTCTATAAATATTTGTTAAGTGCCTATTACATACCATATAGTGTGCTATGCACTGTGGATGCGCAATGAACAAATGAAGTAAAATGTGTCCCCTCACTGAGCTTATAAACTAGAGGGAGGAAATGAATAATAAAGAAACAAATGAGTAAAAGCTATAGTGTGCCATATTGTCTTAAATTCTAGGTAGAAAAATCAAACAGAAAAGAGGACTGAAGTGGAGTGGAGTTGTAATAGTTAAAGAAGGTCTGGAGAAGGTGGAAATTGACAAAGGATCAGAAGGAATGAGGGACACAACCGTGTAGGTGGCTGGGAAGAGAATACTCCAGGTAGAAGAGACAGCAAGTTCAGAGACCCTGAAAAAGGAGCATGCTTGAGTTGCTGGAAGACCTAGGAGGAGGCTAGAGCAGAGACAGTGGAAGTGAAGACGTGGAGATTGTAGATGAGATAGAGAGTTTCAGAGAGTGGGTGGGGGCATATTAGAGAAATTGTCAAAACATTGTAAGGATTAGAGATTTTCATTAGTAAGGTAGGAAGTCTCAGAAGGCTATGGGCAAAGGAGTGACATGGTCTGATTTATATTTTAAAATAACTGTTTTGCTATTTTGAAGATAGCCCATGGGGTAGCAAGGACAGAAGCTGAGATATGAGTTGGGAAGCTAGTGTAATACTTCAGGTGAGGGAACCTGGGACCTTGGACCAAGGGTTAGAATGGTTGTGGTGAGAAACGGTAAGATTCTAGATAACTGGAAGGCAGAGGAATCTCAATCTGACACCCGGATAGATGATCTGAGAGAAGGAACGGACCCAAGAATGCCTCCAAGTCTTTTAGCCTTTGCAGTTGGATGTAGTTGCCATTTACTGAGTTAGCCCAGGGTTAAGGGTGATAAGATTTTCCATTTCATACATAATAAATTTGAGATGTGTCTTAGACTTTCAAGTGCAGGCATTATGTAAGTGGTTGGATGCATTATCCACAAATGTGTGGCAGAAGTCTAGGCTAGATATATTTTATGAGTCATTAGAGAATTGATAATATCAGTAAACATATAGAGTGCCAGGTATCATTCTAAGCACTTTTACAGATATTAACTCATTTAACGCTCCAACAATTCTATGGGATAGGTACTGTTATAATCCCAATTTTTATGGATGAGGTACCTGAAGTGAGATTTGATTGTTTGTTAGCTAAGTGTACACATCTAACATTAAAAGTACTTGAGCTGGGATTCAAAGAGAGTTGGGCCCAAAGAGCTGTGTTCTTAGCCACAATACTCAACATGGAATCACCAATGGAAGGACTGCTAAAAGCCAGAGTAGGTGAACACTTAGAGGCTATGGAGATGAGGAGAACCAATAAAGTAGATGACAAAAAGTTGCCAGTGATGCACAAGGAAAATCAGAAATGCACAGTGTCCTGGATGACAAGAGACGGAAGGTTTGAATTTGTGAAGAGGAATCAACTTTGTCAAATGCTGCTGATAATTCAAGTAAAACGAGGACTGAATCTTTGCCTGGATTTATCAGCGTAGCAGCTGTTGGTACACAAGACACAACAACTATGGCAAATGATGGGACAAGCCTGGTTGAGTTGTGTTCAAGGAAGAGAGAGAGGAAAAGAGTCACAATCAGGCAGTGTAGACATCTTTCTAGAGGAGTTTTCTGTAAGGAGGATCAGAGAAATGATGATGTGAGCTAAAGGGAAATGAAAGGTATAACATATAATAATAATAAATAATAATTGTGAGCTAAAGGGGAATTAAAGGTATAACAAATAATAATAATAAATAATAATTTGTGATGTGTTGAACCAGTTTTTATACAGTAAATGCTCATTAAAGACGCTCTTTAACATTCTTTTGTTACAATATAGCTTTTAGTGTTTATTCTGTATGTATGTGGGTGTCTGTGTGTGTGCACACACATGTATGCATGTGGGTGAAGGGTTAACAGAGGAGTTCACAGATGACCTGACAGTGGAACTAATGTATAAATAAGAATTCACCACATACCACAAAAAGAACATGAGTGTTTCAGGCAGAGAACAGTCTCAGCAGAAGCATGGGGTGATAAAAGGCATGGAGTGTCACCTGAAACACAGATCAGTATTAGAATTAAAAAGAGGCTTTATATCTCCTTCTCATCTGAAACAGTTTCTCATGATGTGTTACATAAAAAAAGAATTCCCTGTTCAAATACCTTCCAGGAAGTGCTGAGTTAAGTGATGAAAAAAGCAGGGCTTCTTTTCTAAAAAGTTTCTCAGAGCTTTTTAAGTATGTGACACACAGCATTTCCAAAGGTTGTTTGACCTTGGGATCTTTCACAGAACAGCATCAATGTGAGGGAACACTGGCTTAAAGTAGAAAGGCATACTGTTTTACAGGCTCATTAGGTTCACCAAAACTTATATACTTGGCTTGCAGTGCAGCAAACCAGGGCTTAGGGGTCATACAGATCTGGGTTTTAATTCTGGCTCTGTGACCATGTAATCATAGTGGGATTTTTAACTCTTCTGTCCTTTAGTTTATTCATTTGTAAACCCTGGAATGCTAATGTGTATCTTCCTCTGAAAGACTGTTACACAGATTAACATAATGTGTGTTAAGTCCCTGGTACCATCAAATAGACTTGATCCATGGAAGTCGATGGTACTATGCTTGGTATAGTGGTACCATGATACTGGCTTCTGCCTTGCACTGTAGCATGTTGGCAAAGTCTATTCCCTCCACATGGAAAGTTCTCTGAAAGCAGAGTTTGTTTTCTATTTATCATGTGCCTCACAGTGCATGTTCCATGGCTTACACATACATGATACTCAATAAATGTTTGTTAAATTGAAAGAACAAAAGTGTTGAAAAGAGCTGCCATAATGTTTTTATTTGCTCTCCATTAAACAGCTGCTAAAAGCTGTTAAAAGCTCCAGTGAGTTTGGAAACTCACTTTTTGTGGCTCCTTAACCACTTAATATCTTTCAAGCCCCTTTCACTTTTTCCCTTAGGAAGAGTGATAATTATGTGCTCATAAATAACATAGACATAAAGAAAGGCAAATTTCAGTGTTAGTTTTTGTTGCAGAGATATTTTCTGTTATATATCCTAATTTGTAATACAAAACTTATTAACTCTGCTATGCAGTTTCTTAACATATATTTATGTGTTTATTGCCAAGATTGGAATATCCCTCCTACTTTCCTGGAACACGATCCATTCAATCCCCAAAGTTCTAGATGTGTTGTCAACCATAGCACCCATTCCCTCTCATCTAGGTGAGACACCCAAACTGCATTTAAATGTATTAGTTACATGGGAAGGATAAATGAGAGCATACAATAATCCACAGAAAGAAAAATGATCCAAAGGTGTTACAGCCCAATAAGCAAATTTTATGAAAGGAGATCTTTGTCAATTCACTCACCAATTTACTAAATACTTGGTAAACACCTGTAATGCACAAGAATTGTAGGAAGTTCTGGGGATACATTGGTTAGAAAACAAGTGTGGTCTCTGATTTTATGTGGAAGAGGTTAAAAGCCTAACGAGAGGGCAGATATTAATCATACAACCTCATAAATAAATGAGAAATGACTGATCTAGTGCCCCAGATGGAAGGGATTGTATGGAATACTACAAAGATAAAATAGAAGAGTAAAATGTGTCTTCCGAATAAATGAGGAATGGGATAAGAGATGAAATTATGTAAGAAGAGAGGTAAGGCTAGAACATGTCCGAAGGAAGAAACAGCGTGCAAAGACCCTATAGTGAGTTGTAGGGTGACACGTTCAAGTGTGTGAAAGAAGCAAGCCAGGCAAGGCTGGAGCATACAGACCCAGCACAAGTGTAATATTTGACAACTGTTGAAATGTTGGCATAAATAAGATCATGTAGAGCTTTAGGATCTATAGTAAAGATTTTGGTATTCATCTTCAGGTGATGAGAAGCCATTGGATTATCATAAGTGTGGGATATACTCTCAATATTCATATTTTTATACTTTTGTTTTAAATATATGTAGACAGAAACATGATATAGTGTTGTTCATTTTTAAATTTCACCCGTGAGGTATCAAATGTAACTTCACTGGCATCTTCAACAATATGTTTCATTATTATTTCCAGGAAGATGTATGCACATCTAGTTCATTCATTTTTTCCACCATTTAGAACCACATTGTAAGAATATTTTGGAGTCTATTAGATGACTGCAGATTTTATTTTGATCTGTTAATTTGGGAAATGTGTTGATCAGTTTTTTACTGTTAAAATATCATTACATTTTTAGGATAAATGTACCTAGCCATAATGTATAATTTTTTTATTGAACTACTGGTTATAATTTGATAGCTTATCAAATATCACTTCTGTATTCGTATTTATAGTAGTAGACTGAAATTTGCATTTTTTCAAACTGTCTTGATCTGATTTAGGTCCAAGGTTATACTCACCTTATAAAATTAGTACAGAAACTTTATTTCACAAAGTATTTTCTTCCTCAAAAATTCTTAAAGATTTAATGAAACTTGCTTATAAAAGCATCGTATTTTGGTATTGTCCCTCCCTGTACAAACTTTTTATTTGGAAAATTCTCAAATCAATAGAAATATTGAAGCATTGTTACGAAGAACATTTGCACATCCTTCATCTAGATTCATTGATTCACATTTTGCCATATATTTAAAAAAATTTTTTTTAATGTTTTTATTTATTTTTGACAAAGAGAGTGAGAGAGAGACAAAGAATGAGAGCGTGCAAGTGGGGGAGGGGCAGAGAGAGAGGGAGACACAGAATCTGAAGCAGGCTCCAGGTTCTGAGCTGTCAGCCCAGAGCCTGATGCAGGGCTTGAACCCATGAACCGTGAGATCATGACCTGAGCCAAAGTCGGACACTTAACCAACTGAGCCACTCAGGCACCCCTACATTTTGCAATATTTCTTTCCTTTCTCTTTCAATTTTCTCATCTGTTGTCTTCATTCTCTCTCCTGTCTTTCACTCTCTTGCTCCTTAACTACATAAAAGCATATTGGAGATATCATGTCACTTCTCAGCTAAATATTTCAGAATAAATATCTTAAGAAAAAAGCATTCCCTAACATGACAATAATGCCATTATCATACCTCAAAAAGGTTATAATAATTGCATGTCATAAGCTATGGCTTATATTCATATATAAAGTTTTTTTTGATTGTGTCCAAACTTTATTTAAAACTGATTTTTTTGAGCTAGGATATAATCAATCTTCATGCATTGCTATCAGGTATTATGCCTGTTTAGTCTTCTTTAACCTAGAATTATCCCACTGACTTTTGGGTTCTTTATTTCTTTGCTTTATTTCACAAAATTGAATTTTTTGAAGAGAATATGGTAACTTATTTCATAAAATATCCCAAATTCTGTGTTGAATTTCTCACAGCTAGACATTAATGGCAAAACATAGATAATGCTCCACACTTCTTGTTGCATCATACCAGGAGTCAAATAATGCTAGGTTGTCTTTAATTGGCAAAGCTATGTCTTGTCACTTGGTTAAAATGATGAGCTCTATATTGTGAATGTACATATCCCCCTGGTTACATCTCTGTACTGGCAAGGTATTAATTTGATACAAATTATTGGATAGAAAGACATTTGTGCCTCCTGATAATATACTGAAAGCTCAGGTCAGCTTCCCATCTTGCTCTAGGATAAGACCTTGTTTCTGCTATTAAAAACCCGTATCATCATTGTACTTTTGGCCTAAATGCAGGAATATGGACTAGATTAATCTTCTAGACTGAAACAACAACAGCAAAAAAAAAAAAAAATGAGGAAGAAATACATCAAACAACAGTTTAGACATTAGGTATCAGCCAAGAAAAGACAGTGATCCCTGAAAGAGGGGAAGAAAGCAAGTACTCTAACTTCCTCCAGATTCCTGCTAGGTGAAAGGTTGCAGGTTGTAGCACAGGGAGGGGGAACCCAGGCAGAGCATGGTGGTTTTCCAGAGTTAAGGAGACAGTTAGGAGTTCAGGGAGGCCAATAGGTTAGAGTTCTCTGGGACGATTATGTGAAAGGAAAGAATTCCATAGCAAATATCTGGAAATACGTAGACGACTCTCTCAGTTAACTACTAATCATGAAATGTGTATGAGCAAAGTCTCCACGGTGGGCGGCGGCGGGGGGGGATCACCCAAAAAGAAGAGAGGGAACAATCTCATATATGGCCACAAATAGTTTGTGTTTCACTAGACAGAATGAAAAAAATCTCATAAATCATGGGGCATTGTGAAGATTATTCAAAAAAGCATTAGGGGGCACCAGGGTGGTTCAGTCGGTGAAGTGTCTGATTTCAGTTCAGGTCATGATTTCATGGTTTGTGAGTTCAAAGCCCACATTGGGCTCTGTGCTGACAGCTTGGAGCCTGGAGCCTCCTTCAGATTCTGTGTCCCCCTCTCTCTCTGCCTTCCCCTGCCTGTGCTCTGTCTCTTGCTCTTAAAAATAAACATTGACAAAAACAAAAACAAAACTGGGAACAAAATTAGTCCTTGAATAAAAGCTGTTCTACTCTCATCTAATCAAGAGACATGAAAGCAAACCTCAAAAGGGAAAAGTGAAACAGTTTTCCAGTAACTTAGATGTGCTCCAGAATAAAGCTCAACAATATTTATAGACAAAATATTCAGCATCCAACAAAGTAAAAATTTATAGCATATGAATTCCAATAAAAAATAACAAAGAATGCAAGGAAGCAGGAAAGTAAGATGTCTCATATATTTAAAAAAAGATAAGGAAATAACTGAGCATGTTATAAACATGGAAGATTTTTTTTTTAAAGACTCACATCTGACTTCTAGAGATAGAACTCCAGTTTCTGAGATGAAAAAAAATGCACTAAATGAAATAAACCACAGATTCGATACTGCAGAAGACAGATGAGTGGAACTTAAGATATAACAATAGCAACTCTTCAGCATAGAATGCAAAGAGAGAAAAATGAATACGCCATCAGAGGCTCTGAGAAACTTTAAGCCATCTAATATACATGCAGTAGGAGTCCCAAAAGGAGGGAAATACAGAAAAAATTTTTGAAGAGATATGAATGAAAATTTTTGAAATGT